CCTCCCACCCTCCAACCTCCCACTCGCCAACCTCCCACTCGCCAACCTCCAACCTCCAACTTGCCAACCTCCAACTCACCAACCTCCAACTCACCAACCTCCAACTTGCCAACCTCCAACTCACCAACCTCCAACTCGCCAACCTCCCACTCGCCAACCTCCAACTCACCAACCTCCAACTCACCAACTTCCAACTCACCAAACTCCAACTGACCAACCTCCCACTCGCCAAACTCCAACTCACCAACCTGCAGCTCACCAACCTCCAACTCGCCAACCTCTAACTCACCAACCTCTAACTCACCAACCTGCAGCTCACCAACTTCCAACTCACCAACCTCCCACTCGCCCACCAGCAACTCACCAATTTTTGTGTCCATCTTATCTTGTCCTCAGCTGGACCTCAAGCCATCAGGGCGATTACAGATTCAAGTCAGGTTCTACCCAGAGAATCCAGAGAACTCGATGGAAGGTATTGTCGTAGAATGGACGGAAGTTCTTCCTCTTGAATAGATCTGAGTGCAAGAATCTGGTCGGGGAGGAGGGGGCAGGGTGAGGGGTAAATGAGAACTAACAATGAGTGTGTGAGACCTAATGGGGAGAGGGGGGGGGGTAAAGATGTGGCGGAGGGGGGTAAATGAGAACTATGAGACCTAACAGTGAGTGTGTGAGAGAGGGGGCTAAAGAGGGGCAGGGGGAGGGGGTTAACTTGGCCTAGTGGAGGAGGGAGGGGTAAAGGGGTCTAAAACTGATCTGCAGCTTGATGTAGGAGTCTGGCAGAGAAGATAATTAATATTTTTTTATTTTTTTTAGAGCTGAATCCAGGGAATCCTAGTTTTACATTAAATACATTTCAATTTGACTGCGTTTGTTAAATATTTTGAGCAATACGAGAATCAGAACAAAACATACAGGGAACAAAACATACAGGGAGCAAAACATACAAGGCTTTTATTTTGAACAGTAAGCATCCCTGCACTAAAGCCAAAAATACCTGTTTAAAAAGAAGGAAGCAGGTGCAATTATGATTTCGATCTATTTAAATGGATGTTTTGATGTTGTGGCTTCCCAGAAGATCCAAAGATGATCAAACCTTACTTTGTGCGCCGTGGTGCCATGAAGCAGCAGAAAGTTCATGAGGTCAAAGGTCATCAGTTCATTGCCAAGTTCTTCAGGTCTCCAACTTATTGCTCTTTTTGTCAGGACTTTCTGTGGTGAGTACATGACATGTGTCATCAGCTGGATTCATAGGCTGGTGTCATCAGATAGTGTCATCAGATAGTGTCATCAGAGGCACCATATAATGCTCAAATATGAGCAGCTCAATATCACTTAACTTATGTACATTAAGGTTTCCTTTAGGTGATTTTATTTAATTTTTTGCTGGGGGGGGGGAGGGGCTAGGTGTTTCGGCTTGACCATAGCAGTTGTCTTTCCTTGCTT